ACTGGTATCGTCTTCTTTGTCCCGGTCTTGTGAAACCATATGAGGCTTTTCCATACTCCGAGTACATCTTTCCTTTAAACTACGAGGCCTTGAAAACACAATTCTTGCTCGGGTTTTATTTTTATTCCAGAAAAGAACTTGAGAGCGCCCTCTAGAGCTTTTTTGAATTCCTCTCTGCGTCTCTGTCTGTAAAAGTATCACATACCGGTAACATGAAATCAAAACATCTCTTTAAATTTTCAATGACCGTCTCCTTGCCGATCGCTCTTGCGGTCGGTGACGTCAGGGGGTATTGTGTGTTATCCAATCACTGCCACATCCAGATTTTGGATGTGTCACACGATTCTCTGAATGGTTTTGTGTCAGGCCTTCCTTTCTCTTCTCCCCCTCCCCCCTCCCCCAGAGGAAGGCCTGATACTCAGGCTACATTAACAAATGCATTGTTTCTTCGTCTTCATATATAAAAAATGGTTCCCAGGGAGTTTAGAGATGGACACACGCTCTTAGGGGCGGAACTTCCATGTTTGGCTCACTCGATATGTGCCGCTCTGCATGGTATAGGTTTATGGGATCTTCAATCTTAAAATAAGTATTCAATTTCACTATTTAGCGTCTTAAACGAGATTGCAAATTAAAAACTGTACTTTGCCTTAAACAGGGTCAGAATCAAAGGGTTTCAGCAGCACAGCCCCAACCAAACTTCCTTTAAATTTTCCCCTCCGGAGAAGATTCTTCCCTTATACATCACGATAACTCAGTAAAACCGGCTCGCCGCTAAAGTCCTAAGCCCTTCCCCCACCCCTGAGTCCCGTCCGGTCCCCTTCTTCCCTAGCACTCTTCACTAAAGTAGGCACTTGATCCCTGTGTGACTGTTAATTCCAAGACACCTAGGTGCAATGAGTTGCTCTGTCCTCCAATAAAACTCTCTGCTGGGATAATGTTCAAAGGAGCGAAATTGTGCCCGGTTTTCTGATAGCAATAACTGTTTATATTATTTCGTTTTTGGTACCCAGAACAGTGCCGGAACCAGACCTTGAGATAAGGGAGGGCGATCTCCAAAGAAATTTTTTTAGGCCCGTCGGGCCTCAGTTTGGTCTAAAAATAGGTGGCCCCAGGCCTCACGGGCCGCTTCCCTGGATCCACTACTGAAGAATGTATACTGTACAATTTCGTAACGCTGGATCAAATACCATTCGAACAAATGAATCACAACCTCAGTGTGAATGAATTTAAAGCAGCAAACTCTTTTTCCTCTGCAGAGCCGCCTTTCGTCGACAGCCATATAACCTGTGGCAGGGACTTTATACAACTTGATGTGAAGCTCAACCCACAGATCTGGGAGAGAGTTCAATCGAAACTTGAGATGCACCTGATCGACAAATACTGCAAACCGTTTTATGTCAATAGTACACACGCCTCCATTAGGACACCACTTTACGACTGCGGTACCAACTTAGAGGTTACTAAAGATCACATGATCTTCAGTAACTCATTTATGATGAGCGAGGAGCCTGAGGTTGGTCAGCTGGTTTCTTTTATCCCGGATGTAGAGGTCAAGTTTCGTTGCACTTATGGCAGAAAGAACAATAAACGAAGAATTGGTAAAGTGGCGCCTTTGAAATTGAAAAATATATTGCTGCACTTGATCTTGAAGTAAAGACAACTTTAATAAATTATAAGGCTAGTCAGGCAAGTTTAGCAGAAAAAAAATATGCTTAACATTTCCTGGTACCAACTTCTTGCAGGGAGGTTGCCGCTTATGAGCCCTGGGCTTATGCATCTTCGTAAGGGGTTCAAGGAGGGCTTATGACAGAAGGGGCTTATACCCGAGAGGGTTTATAACTGGACTGGAAAAAGCGCTCCGAAACAAGCTGTAGCAGTGCTGATCAACCAAACGTTTTGCATTTACTGGTATATAACCAAGCTTCAAAACATCATAATTATTCGCATTCAAGGAAAGAAAGAATAGGGGGGGGGGGGCTTATCAGTGGCGGATCCAAACCTTCAGATAGGGAGTGGGGAGCGGTCATCCAGACCCTGGGATAAGATGGGAACCCGGTCTCAATTTCTTTTTTTTGGCCCCTCAGGCCTCAATTTTGTCTAAAAATAAGGGGGAGACCGAGCCCCGGGGCCCCTTCCCTGGATCCGCCACTGCTTACAATCGGATGTATTTTTTTGTTTACTGGTAGATGGACCTATAACTGCAGAGGGGGCTTAAAAGTGGAGGGGGGTTATAAGAGACAGTTTACGGTACACGATAAATAAATAAACGAAAATCTGCTCACCAACTAATGCAACATACTGTCTGTTTTTAGCTCCTTTACAGCTGGATACACTGCATTCAAGCCCTTCGAAAGTATCAACTCTTCGTGGGTTACCTGTTGTGTTGAAGTGTGTATTCAAATATGGTAGCCCTCCGGTGCGAGTAGTGATTTTACGTGATGGAAAAATAGTTGCAAATCAACAAAATGGCACTAAAACTGCCAAAATCACTGTTGGGAGAAGAAAAAGGGAATTCGGCTTGTACACATGCCGGGCTGAAGATACGAAAAAGGTGAAAATAACACATGACATGGAATTAACAAAACTTGGTGAGTGAGCGCAATTTATGAGAGTTGAATGGCCTCGATCTCTTCCTTTCTCTTATATATATATAGCTGTAGGCCTCTTTGTTCGAGAACGGACTGAGGTCATTATGCTGATCGTTGTGTCTTATATAGAAAAAGTTGTGACTGACAGTTCTGAAGGTTAATGCCCGCGTTCATATGTAAACCGGATAAAGATCGCAGGCATCTTCTTCAGATAAAGACTGCAAATCCTCAAATGGCGTCGCTTCTTCTCGCATTTGCTGGATTTATCGTTGTCTAGTTACTGAAAGTATACAAATTTCTCTTCATTCTGAAATAGATCCTTCAAACGTATCGTCTGATGGGAAACAGGTTACGTGCTCACGTGATGAAATGTATCTAAAGCTTGACCACTTGATGTTTCCGTGGTTACGACCACCGTACTTTGACATTTATCTCCTTGACAAGAATTGCCGACCGTATCACGTGAATTTCACGCATATGATTGTCAAAACAGGATATGGGGATTGTAAAACTAAGGCAGATATTCGAAATCATGACGTCATCTATAGTAACGCCTTGATAGCACTTGCAAGGCCCATACCCGGAACTATTATCACTAGATTCCCGGATGTATTAATTCCTTTTGAGTGTCGGCTCAATCTTACAAACAGTGATTCAGGTCCACTGAAAAAAGAAGAGAAGGTCCTTGCAGGTGATGAAACATCCATATTTAAAATTTAAATATTTTTTTACTGGTGCTTCATAACAATAGGGTAATGTAAGCGGAACAGGACTTAGCGCCTTCTGCAAATGGTCAACTTAGTTTACCCCACACTGGCTCTTGGCTGATTAGATCGAGAGTGCCATATTTTCTCGAGTAAGATTTGGCCAAAAATGAGGGGGGTTATACGAGAAATTAATGTCCTCCTTCAAATGAAGAAGTAAGACAAAACTTGAATAAAACTAAGAACAAAATAGAAATAAAAGAAGATGCCTTAACGTGGAGGACTCTGGTTTCCTATGGTAATGGTGGTGTTGTCGAAGTTAGTCAGGGAAGTGAAGTAAGGAGGGTGGCTTTCCTTGTGATATTCTCACGCAAAAAAGGGGAGGCAGAGGACGCAATCTGACGCTTTGTCACCTCAGTCTCGGCTGAGTTGTGAAGTAGCCAGTGCCTTGGTACTGGCAGCAATGTCTTGGTTGAAATAGTTTTCAACGGGTTAGTCACAGAAATTCTGACTGCATCAAATCAAATGATGTAGAGTCAGTCCTCTAACGATCTTTTCACTATCTATTCTAGAGCCTCTCACAGCAGATAAGTCAAAAAGCAGTCCATTCATCGTGAAAACATACAAAGGTTTTACAGTCAGGTTAATGTGCACGTTTAAAGGTGGCGTCGCTCCTCTCAGGATTAAACTGACCAGGGGAAAAAAACTGGCCTCGAGTGTCGAAGTAAAAGAAAGGACTTTGTACTTTACAGTTAAGACTGGCCTTACAGCAAGGTTCCGATCTTATGAATGTATTGCGACTGATGCAGAAGGAATAAGAGTAAAGCAAAGAATTACTCTTCGAAAAGCTGGTAAGAAGCGTAATCTCCCTGCTAACGCGGTGTTAATTGTCCCGCGACCCATACCCATAGCATGCCTTAGTAGCAGACATGCAAGCCCTCAGTTGGCTTTTTAGCTCAGTTGGTAGAGTGCTGCCCCCCGGCATCGCAGTGGTTAAGGGTTTAAACCCCACACAAGCCTGAATGTTTTAGGCTTTCTTTTCGCGACTGCAAAAGTTGCGCGTTACATGTATTCACGTTTTATCTCCGCCTTTTTCACCGTTTTGCGACTAAGATCGGTCTGCAATCCATTTTATGAATTGAAAAGATTTAAAGTATTTTCTGATTCAGGCCTAAGTGAAAATCCTCGAAAGGGAAGTTCCCAACTGTGAAAGCTCTCTCTCTCTCTCTCTCCCTCTCCCCCCTCTCTCTAGGCCTAATGCCTTTTTTCTTTTATATTATAAGAACCTTTTGTTTGAAACATTGCCGGAGGCTGAAAATTGGAAAAACACAAGAATATAACTCGTATTTAAGTTTGGTTAAGAACGTTTCATTTCACTGCGAAATACAGAACAAAATTTAACAAAAAAGATGTAGAGTTTGAATGTTATTTTGCCCAAGTGAAATAAAGTGTTCTTAGCCAAATTTAAGTCCGAGTCATGTTTAAGTGTAGTTCTGACTCAGCCTTTTCTCAAAATGAGTGTTAATTGTAAATAGAAATCACCTATTCCTTCATCGTATTATAATATTAGTTTCACTTTACCCCTTAGGGCCTCGTGACTTGACGTCAGATGGAGTAAAAGTAAATTGTAAAAGCGACTTCATGGATGTTAGTTTAAGCAGACTTGTGTATCCGTGGCTCGATCCAGGCCTTCTCCGTATTAGCCTTATCCAATCTACCTGCACTGCATATACCATCACGGACTTGGAAGTTAGAATCCAGGCTCCACTTAGTAGATGTGGAAGCAAAACAAACCTCAAGAACAAATATACGCTGCGATCTCGTAACACAGTTATTACCCAGCCAAGGCGTCCTGAAGGAGTCTTAATCACCTACCTACCTGAAATTCACTTTCCGTTTACTTGTGATTACGAGATAACTCATGCTCAAGGGAAAACATCTCTTAAGCCGATAGGTGAGGACAAATTTAGCGGTAGCATAATAGCTAAAAAAAACTAATTTACAATTCGATAAATTATAGACATTAGTTGTTTACCAATTTCAAACAGATTCGGGAAAATCCAGTTCGAAGTGAGTAAATGGAACACCGCTACAAGGAACAAGGAACTGATTTGGGCAAATGGAAAACGCGATTCCGGAATGGAATTTACTAGTCCTGAATTTTTCTTTCCAGTTGTCCAATCCGTAAACCGACCGGTTTGCCCATGTAAACGATAAACAAACATTAACTCCGTTGTGTGATCAGTGACCATATCCTTCCAGTTTTAGTTTTCTTGCACAAGGAAGAAAAACCGTAGGACCCGTCTCCGAGTACTGAGTCATTAAGTCTCTGATATAACTCTTGTGGGACGAAAACGAACCACGCAGACCATAATGGGCAAAGGGGCCGTGGGAATGGGACGGGGTGTAATCTCGCATGAGGCTTATGAGTCGCGCTCGTACCCTCCCCTCAAGGTAGGTTTGTACCCCAACTGACAAACCCGGGAGACACTCAACAAAGATTTACGGCGATTCTCCGCCCTAAGATCGAACCCCTTACCCTTTTACGTACTATTTTTTGACAAAAAAGGTGCCCCTTTTGTACACCTTTCATTGACATACATAGTTTAGAAAGCCGCATCCCTTTTAACTGCTGTGAATGCGCCGTCTTTTAAATATGAATAAATCATGACTAAAGCAGTTGGTTTTCTTGTCTTAAACTGTGCCTAGCACAAGAATGCAACTAAAATCATGTTTCACCAGCCTTAATTGGTAAAAAATCACTGCTTAAATTTAAGCATTTTATAATGAACCTCGTTAGGAGCAAAAATGTGGTTTGGAAAACTCTTCAATATTAATGCTTAATACGTTAGCAGCATTGAAATTTTAGGGTCTTGTCCCTTGATGTTTGCGTATGTAGCAGTTATTGTATTTTATTTTCTAACCTTTTTGACCCTTTGCTATACCAGATATAGGTTACTACATGAACTTATGTTGTTGGTTCAAAGTGATGTTTCCTCTATACACTCTCTTAGGACCACTTATGCCTGATCTGTCTAACTCAAGTAATACTGTAGTCTCCCCACCAAAAATGACTACCAAACTGAGGTGCATTTTCCAAGGAGGTGAGCCCCCGATCAGGGTCAGCATGAGCAGACACAAGGTCAAGATAGCGCATGCACAAGGAAGGACGTTGAGTTTTGTAATAAAACCACATATTTATGATGACGGACACTTTGTTTGCCGAGCCACCGATGCCCGAAACAAGACCGTTACTCACAAAATAAACTTACACGTTCCAGGTAAGACCAGTTAGAGAATCCGTACGCTTCAGCTTTTCTTTTCAGCAGCATTCAAACTTACGGAATTTCATCGGAAGAAAACAGGTTTTGAAATATATCCACCCATATCCAACTATTTTTCTACTTTTCGTTTTTCGTTTTCTTTCAAATCATCGAATCTACTCAAACTCTGACTGAACGGGATAGTTGAAGGTATCGTTCACTGTTCCCCTATTAACCTAATATGCCGCAGAACGAAAGATCTATAGAGGACCTCATGATTAACAAAAATATACCAAGTAAAATATACCAATACAACACCGCTCTGTCTAGGTTCTACTCGTGTCATGTTTATGTCTTGCTAAGGTAATTTTTACGCAGCACGATCAGCTTTAAAGAAAGGATGTCTGTAGCCTAAGTATCAGACGCTTTTTGGGAAAAAAGGAGAAGAGAAAAGCGAAAAGGGAACGGAGAGAAACTTCTTTCTTCTCTTCTGCCCTCCCCGCCTCGTCCTCTAAAATATCCCCTCCCCTGACCCCCAAGGAGTGATACCCTCAGGATAGAGCGTTTTTCACATGACGTCACGGCGGCCATATCGATGTTCCAAAACAATAAAACGTCAGCCATGTTGGTGTTCCAAACCATTCCTGTGGGAGTTGAATTCTTTTCATATGTAAACGCATTCTTTTGATTGCATAAATTTGCATAGACGCTGGCCACATGAGTGAAAGCGCTCTATATCTGTTTGCAGGGCTGATTCCCAGAGTGTTTTCCTTTGAAATTTTGGACTGTCAATCAACCAGGGAAAGGACATGGCAGCAACGTTGTTTCTACTTAAATTTTAAAACATAAACTGCTACACTTCATCAATAAGCTACTGGAAAAGTATGACACATTCTTTTCAACGAACGAAACAGTAACGGCTATATATATGAAAAAAAACAAACAAACAAAGTGACACATCTTACTCTTTATTTTCTTGCTTAACCCTTTCTAAGCATTGGTTTCTTGACATTTCCATATATTCTATGTTATCGGAAAGATGAGAAATTACAAATAGTGTTCTTCACTTTCCTGACTTATTTATCTTTTCTTTTCTCTTTTTATTTTTTTGCCTGTAGTTCATGGTATCGTCTGGAACAAAGGAGCAGAAATTGATTGCGGCTCAAAAATCACGACTGTTACATTGTTCCGAGCAAACTTTCCGTGGTTAGACATTAGACGTATGCACGTACATCTCATTGATCCAACTTGTCGGGGTTACCTTAACAGCACGCATGTCAGTTTTAGATTTCAAACAGGAGGATGTGGCAGCAAGCATATCAAATCATCTTCAAGAGATGTAATATTCTCCAACAAGGTGTTTATTGTCAATAAACCTTATTTCCAGGAAAGGAAACACAAGAGTATATTGGAAATAAACTTTTATTGCAAATACAGCCACACGGGTGGTGGAAATAAAAAAATTAAGGGTTTTTTGTAAGACACAAACTCTGTAACTAGTGTATGGCGATGCAATTGATATCGTAATATAATGTGAATTTCTGTGAAGCTGTTACTTTATTTGAATCACGAAAACCTTCCTATGGAGAAGATGATTTATCGTATAGATAACATCCCATAGGAGTACGCAGCTCCGGTATTAATCTGAGTAGGTTTGGCAGAGTCTTTGACTGTAACCATCACGGTTAGCATAGTCCAAGAGAGAACTCGATGGATTAAAATGAGAGGTTCCTTTTCGTAGAAAGTACAACTTTCGGCTGTAGTTGAAAAATACCGCTATAAGCTTTGTGATTGAAAGCCAATCAAATATGCGTGAAATTGTTTGGCACCTATTATTACAAATCTATGGAGTTGCAACTTTTGGGTTTATAGTAAGTTTATCTGTATATTGCTCTGTACATAGCAAATTGTATTAAATGTTCAACAGCATGAAACATACAAAATAGATGAGGAAGAAGCGTAGATTTTATATTTGATCACACAAGCGCTATGTATTCAATAAGCTTAATATGTGTACTGATTTACTTGAGTCGTTTTATGACAAAGAAAAAATTTTTAATTGAAGTTGTAAAGTTTATGCCATAGAATTATGCATGTATTTTAACATTTCTGTTTAGAGTAATTCATTTAATCTTCTATGCGTTATTTTGAATGTTTTAAGTACTATCACTTATGTCAGTTTGCTATTTGATGTTAGTTTGTAAATAAAATGGAAGGTTGCTGTTTTATTTTCTCATTCTGGTATTGACCAATATTTTGCGAGACAAAAAAAGCCCTCGTCATTAGCTGGGGAAAAAGGTAAAAGGTTTAAAGATTGCAAAAGTCAAAAGGAAAGAAAACAAATGAAATGTGCCCTTTATATCTTCGGCCGGTGAAGATATAAACAAACATAGTGTTTCTTAGTCTGCTACACAGCCGTTTGAAAAACTAAAGAAAATTCTTATCAGTTTCTGAAAAAAAATCTTTTTGGATTCTTGCTAGAGGAATGTTTCTTAAAATTTGTCAGTTTCCTTAAGTTGAATAAAAAATGCGTCTAACTTAAGAGTGAATCTTACTCTCGCCTTTAACGCTTAAAAATAAGGAAAATTAAGTTAATTTACCAAATATCGATTTAAAAAAAAAACAATATCAATATCAATCCTAAAGTTATGAAGCTAACATCAGTTTCATCTACATGGGCAAAAATTGTAGGTCGGCCATTGTTTGGGCAAATGGTAAGCAACATTCAAGACTGGTAAAGTTCGTACCAGAATCGCGTTTAACGTTTGTACAAGTCAGTTTCATTTACCGAAAAGCAACATTAAAGGCCTAAAACTGGTAAAAAAAAAAGGTGGCTTTGAAGAAATCGAACACGAATTTATTCCGTTTGGAACATTCCGTCCGGAAAAACAGGAGTACCTTTTCAGATGTTCCGTTTCTCTCCAGACTACCACTCGACATTGATGGTACAGTTTTGGGTATTCAAACTGTTTTCTGTCTTCTGTTGCTACGGGTGGCAAGGATGGACATGGA